ACATGCATACAAACACACACACACAAACACACGTAGATGAAGAGACACATGCGCATGTATATACAGAATCCACAGAGGAACAGATCACGGCAACCACCACCAACAAGACTCAAACGTCCAACGAGCAAGACGAGACGGGTTACTTCCAGGGGAAGTAATCTGCTCTTCCTACTGCAACTGCTCTTCCTGCTACTACTACATTTGCTGCTGTCATTGACACTGCTGCTGCTGCTGCCGTTTCTGCCCCTACAGCTGCTACTACGGCTTCTGCAGCTACTGCTGATGCTGGTGCTACTGCCGCAGCATCAGGAAAGGTCTTCCTTCAGCTTCGTTGGTGCGTCAGCGTTTCAGATGCCGGAGTGCAGCAAACCTACTCTCAAGGCCAGTGCTTTTGAAGGTGCAGGAACGGGGGATCTTCTCCAGGAAGGAGTCCCAAGAGAGATCGCCGCGATGGAGAAGGCTGAGCCACGCAAACATCCCGCGACGCAGGCAGTTTTCGCTACAGCTGCTGCGCTCGAAGTCCGGCTGCTGCAGCGAAGGTCGCGTGAAGATGCAGTGCTCCCTATACACTTGAGGGAACCACCGCTCAGAGCGATGCTCCAGAAGACAAGTGTACGGGTCCGACGCCCCCTCGCAGGTGCCTTCGTGTCTGCAACGCCAAACCGCAACACCAACAGCCGCAGCAGCAGCAGTGACGTTCCCAGGCAGCAAGAATCATACACAGCGACCCCCCCACACTGCCGGCTGGAGTGCAACTACAATAGAAATTCACTAGGCCCATGCCTACGTCTGCTGCTTAGTGCACAACAAGCCCAGGTACAAGCAACTGAAGGCGGAGAAGCCAATCGGGAAGCAGAGTGCCAGTAGGACACATGACGATATAGAGGGACAGTTGGAGGCAGAAGCAGACAGGTATGTATTCGGTGGTAAGAGGGGATGGAGAGGCATTGAGAAACGCATTAAACACTCTGCACGCGGAAGAAAGAAGAACTGAGGTGCGCACGCAGAAGGTAAGGCTGAGACTGTGGTCTGCGGTGCATACGGACTTGTGCAAGAGGGCGCGGCACAGACTGCGGCAGTTAG